AATGTGGTATATTTACACAATGGAATACTATTCAGCAGAAAAAAACAATGGAATCCTGTAATTTGCAGGCAAATGGGTGGCACTAGAAGAAACCATCCTGAGTAAGGTAACCCAGTCACAAAAAGACAAACATGGTATGTACTCTCTCATATACGGATTTTAGACATAGATCTGGGGAGTGCCAGCCTACAATCCCATGGCCAGAGAATCTTGGAAACAGAACCTTCATCCATTGGCTGATGGAAGCAGAGGCAGACTCCCACGGCTAAGCACTGAGCTGAACTCAAGGAACCCAGTGACAGAGAGGGAGGACTGATGAGCAAAGGGGTTAAGACTGGGCTGGTTTAACCCCCAGAAACAGCTGACCTGACAATGGGTAGCCCTTGAATCCCAGACTGATGGCTGGGATTCCAGCATGGGACTGATCAAGACCCCCTGAATGTGGGTGGCAGTGAGGAGGCCTAGGCAATCTATTGGGCCTTGGGTAGTAGATCAGTATTTAACTCTGGCATACAAATGGACTTTGGGTGCCCATCCAACAATGAGAGAAGCACTCTCAGCCTGGACTCTTGGGGGAGGGTTCTAGGCCCTGCCCTTGATGAAAAGACAGACTATGGACCTCCCCTTGGAGGGCCTCACCCTCCCTGAGGAAATGAGGGGGTATTGGTGGGTTGGTGGGAGAGTGTGGGAGGAGGGGAAGGAAAGGGAAAGGGAGCTGGGATTGACATGTGAAGCAACCTTGTTTCTAATTTAAATTTAAAATAAAAATAAAAATAAAGAAGCTGTTGGAGTGGTGAAATATCAGCCTTGGTGGTTCGTGTTCCTGGTGTCGTGCCTATGCCAGTGGAACACTCAGGAGAGAACCAGCTCGTCCTTACACGACAAAAGAGAGTTCCTGGCTTCACTATCTCTCAGCCAATTGCCACAGCAGGCTGGATAAGCTCTCAGGGGAGGTTGCCTCTGCCTTAAGTTCTCAGAATATCAATTCTCTAGTACAATTGGACACTTTAAATCTTAATCAGCAAACTTCTCCAATGTCAATTTCACAAATTACCTGGCTCAATTATCTACTCAAATTATTAAGATTAATGAGACCAGGGTGCCTCCCCTTTCGGGAGACCCCATCTTTAGGGGACTGCACCTAGCAGTTTGATTAATCAAGGAATGGACTGGGTCACTAGCCCTCAGGTCACTGCCCTGTGGCCCTGGGCAGTGCTGCTTTGGCCTTAGTCTGCCTTTGCTGCATGGGAAGGCGACAAGCCCAGCGCCGTTTTCAAACAAAGCAAATCATGCCAACATCAAAATAAGTGAAGAGAAACTCAAGGCGATTCCTCTAAAATCAGGACTAAGACAAGGCTGTCCACTCTCTTCATATCTGTTCACTATTGTACTCAAAGTTCTTGCTAGAGTAATATGACAACAAAAGGAGATCAAAAGGAAACTAATTAGAAAGGAAGATGTCAAACTTTCACTATTTGCAGATGATGTGATAGTTTACATAAGTGATCCAAAAAACTCTACCAGGGAACTCCTACGGCTGATAAATACCTTCTGCAAACTGGCAGAATACAAGGTTAACTAAAAAAAATCAGTAGCCCTACTATATATAGACAATAAATGGGCTGGGAAAGAAATCAGAGAAACATCACCCTTTACAATAGCCACAAACAACATAAAACACCTTGGGGTAACGCTAACCAAACAAGTGAAAGACCTGTATCGCAAGAACTTTGAGTCTTTAAAGAAAGAAATTAAAGAAGATACCAAAAACTGGAAAGATCTCCCATGCTCTTGGATAGGTAGTAAAAATGGCAATCTTGCCAAAAGCAATCTACAGATTCAATGAAACCCCCATTAAAATCCAGATTCACAGATCTTGAAAGAACAATACTCAACTTTATACGGAAAAAAAACCCAGGATAGCCAAAACAACCCTGTACAATAAAAGAACTTCCAGAGGCATCACCATCCCTAACTATTATAGAGCTATAGTCCTGAAAACAGCTTGATATTGGCACAAAAATAGACAGGTGGACCAATGGAATGGAATTGAATACCCTGATATTAATCCATAAACATATGAACACTTGGTTTTTGACAAAGAAGCTAAAAATATACAATGGAAAAAAGAAAGCATCTTCAACAAATGGTGCTGGCATAACTGGATGCTGGCATGTAAAAGACAACAGATAGATCCATGTCTGTCACCATGCACAAAACTTAAGTCCAAATGGATCAAAGACCTCAACATAAATCTAGCCACACTAAATCTCTTAGAGAGAAAGTGGAATGTGCCCTTGAATGAATTGGTGCAGGAGACTGCTTCCTGAACATAACACCAGTAGCGCAGACACTGAGGTCAACAATTAATAAATGGGAGCTCCTGAAACTGAGAAGCTTCTGTAAGGCAAAGGACACAGTCAGCAAGACAAAATGCCAGCCCACAGAATGGGAAAAGATATTCACTAACCTCACATCTGACAGAAGGCTAATTTCCAAAATATACAATGAATTCAAGAAGCTAGCCACCAAAATATCAAACAATCCAATTAAAAAGTAGGGTACAGAACTAAATAGAGAAGTCTCAATAGAGGAATCTAAAATGGCTGAAAGACACTTAAAACAGTGCTCAGCATCCTTAGCCATCAGGGAAATGCTGGTGGGATTGCAAACTTGTACAACCACTTTGGAAATCAGTATGTGAGTTTCTCAGGAAAATGGGGATCAGTGTACCTCAAGATGCAGCATCTCCACTCTTGGGCACATACCCAAAGAATGCACATTCATAAGGACATCTGTTCCACTATGTTCGTAGCAGCATTGTTTGTAATAGTCAGAACCTGGAAGCAACCTAGATGCCCCGCAACAGAAGAATGGATAGAGAAAATGTGGTTCATTTACACAATGGAGTATTACTCAGAGGAAAAAAAATGAAATCTTGAAATTCGAAGTCAAATGAATGGAACCGGAAGAAACCATCCTAAGTGAGGTAACCCAATCTCAGAAAGACAAGCAGGGTATGTACTCACTCATATATGGATATTAGACATAGAGAAAAGGATTACCAGCCTACAATCCACACCGCCAGAGAAACCAGGAAACAAGGGGCGGGGGACTCTAGAGAAGAACACATGGTCCCCTGAGGAAGGGGAGGGGGACAAGAACCCCTGAGCAAATTGGGAACACGGAGGTGAGGAGAGATGAGGGAAGTGGGAAGGGGGGAAGCAGGGGAGGGATGAGGAGAACAGGAGGGATCAGGAAGACTGAGGTGGGGAGGAATAGAGGAGGGCAAGAAAGGAGATGCCTTGATAGAGGGAGCAGCATAGGTTTGGAGAGAGGTCTGGCACAGGGGAAATGTTAGGAGATCCACAGGGGTGACCGCAACTAAGAATCTAGGCAGTGGTGGAGACGCTGCCTTTGATGCCCTTCTCCTAAAATGAGATTGATGACTACCTTGGTTGCCATTCCTAGAGTCTTCATCCAGTAGCTGACGGAAGCAGAAGCAGACACCCACAGCTAAGCACTGAGCCCTATTCCTGGAATCCAGTTGTGGAGAGGGAGGAGGGATGAGCAAAGGAGCCAAGACCATACTGGAGAAACCAGCAGAAATAGTTGACCTGACCTACTAAGAACACTGAGACACTAGTTGTAAAGATAGGGAACCAGCATTGGACCGAACGAAGCCCTCTGAATGTGGGTACCAGCTAGGAGGCCAGAGCAGTCCATGGGACCTCTAACAGTGGAGCCAGTGTCTATCCCTAGATCACAAATGGACTACGGAGCCCATGCCCTGTGGAGGATACTATTGCAGCCCAGATACATGAAAGAGGGCCTAGGCCCTCCCCCAAATGATGTGAAGGACTTTGATGATCCCTATGGAGAGCTTCACTATCCTTGGGGAGTGGGGGGCATGGGAAGAAGGGAGGGCAAGGAAATGGGGTGATTGATGTGTAAAACAAGATTGTTTCTAAAATAAATAAAGGAGTGACTTTAGCCTTTCTTGGCTGCAGGGTGGATCTGTCTCTAAGGACTGAATCCCTTTCCCTTCACCTAGGGCTTCTTTTGCTCTTTTCCAGTTTACACCTTATCAAGTTGATTTCCATGTCCTCAAACCAACCTGACTAACCTTCCAAAGGGACCGACCATGCCAAATGCAAGTTCAGGAGGTACTGCAGTTGCCTGGGTTACCCCCAACCAAGTCTTGCATAGGCCTTGTATCCTTGGGGAACTCTCAGGTGACAAGAGAAACAAAAGTATCTACTAAACAAAAGATGGATTAGGGCTAAGTGCCACTCTGGAGCCAGACCAGGTGTAGTCCAGCCCGGTGGCTCCCACTGTCTCTGTCTCCCTCCGTCTTTCTGAGAGCCCCACTCTAACAGGGGCTTCATCCCCACCACCCTAGCACCTGCTTGTTCCAGTAGAAAGTGTCCTGTCGGGCTGTGGCACTTCAGTTTGCCCTGCCTCCCCACTAACCGCTCTGCGGTTTGCATGCTAGTATAACAAACTCGAAATATGGGTGCTGCTCCCAATAACTCGATCTTTCTCAGCCTATTGCAACTAGAAACAGACTCCCCATTCCTTCCCCACGTCTTATGCCGAAAGCAGGTACTATACTAGAGCCTCCGGGGAGAAATGTGAAAGTTAGGTCTTCCCTTTGCTCCCTCAGGGTGTGTGTGTGGGGGTGGGGGGATGACACTCGACTGGGCACACCTTCCTGCCGGCTCACTGTGTGCCAGGAGTCTTCCCACACAGAAGTGCATATGTGAATAAAAAGCCTGTTTTTCCACCTGAATTCTGCCTCAGCATCTATGGAACTCAGACAGGTGGACCTCCGCACCTACGGTCAATGCTGCTGTGTGGCTCTTCTAACTCTATTTGACAGCATGTACATACGTCAGGTGACAGTTTTCAAGGGAATTGCAAACGCGGTGAATCAGCTCCTTTACGACGGTGTGAGATACCTGGCTTTTTATTTATAATGCAACAAACGTCTAGGCTGAATGGATCTATTCGTGGGGCAACTGAAGGGCTACAGGACTCTGACCGTGGGGCTAGTCTTTGTGGTTTTGGTAAGTACTTCCTTGTCCCCTACTGTCTTCATTACTGCTTGTCTATGTAGGTATTGGGCAAAGGCTTTGAGATTGGAGAGTGGACTGACGGAAGCTCTCATTCGTCCTCCGTCCACCCCTGAGGGACGTCTGGGAGCATCAACTGCAGGGGGACAACATCTTTCTAAGAAGGACTGTGAGCAGTCCATCAGGGAATATAAACTCAGAAGTTTTTCGGGGACATCTCTAAGGAGAAAGAATACGAGCGAGTATGTGGACTCTTTCTGGGAAGAAAAGAGCAAATGTTTGCTTCCCTTAGACAGGGCAGCACCAGCAGGCAGAAGAACAATTCTACCTAAGTCCGGCTTGCTGGACAAGTGGGTTTATTGGATTTACTTAAGGAGCACAAGTTACCCCCAACCATGCCAGCAAATCGGCTGCACAGACAACTTCCCTGCAGCTGTATGAATGGAGTTCTCCCTGCCATTAGCTTTCACCTGCTACAAACTCCAGCACCTCCCGACACCACGGGAAGCTGGAGCAGAATTGCAGACACCTGGAAAAGGTTTGGGGTGGGGGTCTAAGTCCTACTCAAATACTCCTTCCACAAGGACAGTCTACAGACTGACTGGCCCTTGTCGGGGCCCGTGCCTGCCATTTCAGCGGGTCTGATGAGGACGGTAATGGCTGTGTTCCACATCAGCAACTCAGTTCTCAGTTCTCTCAACTTCAGAAGATGTTGTTCTCTCTGCCCTAGTTTAGGAGAAAGAAACCTTTTGGTGTCTGGTTCTGCTTTTAGCCTGGAGGGAAAAAAGTCAGGGAATAGAAAGTCTTATGTGCACACACACACACACACTCACACACACACACACATGCACTCACACACACACACACATACACACACACACACTCACCTACTTTCTCTTATAAATATACACACTCTCTCTCACAACACACACACTCTCACAACACACATGCACAAATACACACTGTCTCTCACAACTCACACATATACACAAACACTCTCACACACACAGGACTTGGGGGGCTGAAGGAGTCAGTGAGAATGGGGGAGATAGACAATAATGGGGTGAATATGATCCATAGGTATTTATGCATGCATGAAAGTCACACGGTGAATAAGAAAGAAATTAAAACTCTCCCTGGAGCAAAAGCAAAAGAGTTAGGATGACCCTGTGTTTCTCCCTTGAAGTTGTGTTTGAGAAAAAGCCAGGACTGTTTGTGAAATCAGCCTTTGCACACACAGAAAGGAGTGAAGCTGTGACACACGGTTAATGTCCAAGGAGACCAAAGACACAGGCAAGCCAGAGATGGTGACTTGCCTCGAGGAGTCCAGCGTCTGGGAGGCAGAGAAAGGAATCACGTGTTGGAGGCTGAGCTATGGAGCAAACTCCAGGCCAAGTCCTGTGTGTCACCAAAACACCCAAAGGCGGGGGAGGGGGATGAGAACATAAAAGTAACCACCAGAGAGCACTCAGGAGGCTCTTCTCTCCCTGGATCTACAGGCTGATAGTGAACACTGTGGGGAGAGGAAGAGAGTTCCCTCAGAGTGGAGGCGCTGGCAAGTTGTCTATGCGCTTCTAAGTCACCTCAATTAAACTAATGAGGGCACATACAGCTACACACACACACACACACACACACACACACACACACACACACACACACACACACACACACAGAGTAGAAGGAAGGTAATCGGGACTGGAGAGATGGCCTGCGGTCAAGAGCACTGGCTGCTCTTCCAGAGGTCCCGAGTTTAAATCCCAGCAGCTACTCGCTGGCTCACAACCAACTGTAATGAGATTTGGGCCCTGTTCTAGCCTGCAGGCATACATGCAAGCAGAAAGCTGTATACATAATAAGTAAATATTTTTTTAAAAGAGGGCAATGGAAGGCTAGAGGGAGCTCAGGATTTGAAATGCTTGCATTTCATCCAGACAGCACACATTTGAGAGGCGCACATTTCCCGCAACTCGAGTTGCAATAGATCTGACACCCAATTCTGACCTCCACAGGCACTTTCACACGCAAGTCCTAGACACACATACACAGAAATGAAAACAAATCTTAACAGAACAACTAGAGGATTGGGCACACTCACTCACGCCTTTAATCCCAGTTCTTGGAAGAAAAGGCAAGTTTGAGACCAGGCTGGTCTGGAAAAAATGAGTTCCACAGTAGGCAATGTTACATAGACTTTTCTAAAGATAAAATAAATAAATAAATAAAAAACAGAACAAAAACCTTAGGACCGGTGAGGTGGCTCCGGCGGAGGTGTTTGCTGCCAAGCCTGACAACCTAAGTTCAGTCTCTTGAGACCCACAAGGTGTGAGGAGGGAGCCGACTCCAAACATGTCCTCTTGTAGGTGGAGTTTTTTGTTGGGACCCTGATCAGCTCTGTTCTGTTAGCTGCTTCCCAAATAACCACCCAGAGATTTAGTGTTAATTATAAATGTTGGGCCGGTAGCTCAGGCCTAATGTTATGGTGAAAATGTCCCAGGCCCTGACATCCATACATCCAGAGCTTCTGGGATATAACGCTGGAAGCTCCGCCCAAGCCCCGCCCATGGCACAGGGTATTTAAACTGCCTCCCAGAAACCAGACTGGTGGTTTTTCCCTTCTTCCTTTCAGGTCTCCTCTCTCTGGAACTGGATGGCTGTTGGGTAAAGCCTTCCTGCAAGCCTGGTTCCAGAGCGGCATCAGTCCCAAATGAACACACAGGAGGCTATATTAATTATGAAGCTGTTGGCCATTTGTTTGGTTTCTTACTGGCTATCTCTGACTTAAGTATTTACTCCATAATTGTTAATCTAAGTATATCTCTTACTAGAGAAAAGTTCCGAACTTCTTACCCCTATGGCAGCTACATGATGACTGTGTTTCTCCTCCTCAGAGTCCTCTTCAACTCCTAGTCCCACCTATCTTGCTTCCCTATTGGCCAACAGTGCTTATTCAACAACCAATAAGAGACAGATTTCAGAATGACATCTTCCATCAGATGGCCAGAATTTCTGGATCCCCAGAAATTCAGCTAACAGTATCACGCCAGTCATGAGTGGTTTCTTTCAAATAAAGGTCATGGTGACTCAAATGGGCTTATGCATGACAAACAGAATGACATACACAGGTAGGATCAACAGATGCTACTTGGTCAAGTGGAATACCTCCTTCCGGGAAGAAAATATGGCGCCCACAACACACTGGCACATTCCTCTTTCTTTATTCACAGGTGATCTGTCTCATGATGGCTTGGCTGGAGCCCATCAAGAGTTGGCTCCCACCACCCCATCCTGCCTCTAAATGTGTCTCTGAGACCATCGACTGGGACCTTCTCCCTCAAGAACTGACCAACCTGACCAGCCTTCTTTACTGGCCTCCAACTGGTGGAGACAGGGATGACTTTTTGGCGACTACCAGCCCCCAAACCTCCACGTACACCTTGAAGGGTCCTGCTCAGGCCAGCTATACTCTGGGAAGTAACCTAGAGGCCATCCTTGTGGCTAGGGATCACCAGGGTAGGCCCAAGACTCATGGTGGAGACCTGTTTCGGGCGAAGCTCCTGGGCCCAGAGTTGAGAGCAGGAGTCCCAGGGGAGGTGACGGATCTGGAGAACGGCACCTACCTCCTGTCCTTCCCCCTGCTCTGGGCCGGGTGGGCCCAGGTGCAGGTGAGGCTGATCCACTCGAGTGAGGCAGTCGGGGTCCTGCAGAGGGTCTGGAGAGAAAGACGGGCCACCGTTGACTTCAGAGGGTATTTCCGAGGAAGGGACGGCACTCGAGAGACTGTTATCTGCAACGTGGACCCTCAGTCAACTGGAGCCAAGGGGCCCACCTGCCGGTACAGAGACGTGGTCTCCGGGGAGGTCTGGTTCTGTGCTCAGCCCTCTGCTCTGCCCTGCAACGCTTTAGTAGGTCACTCGAGTGGGAGTTACCTGAAGGTGACCACACCGCGTGATGAAGACCTGCTGGCTGGGTGAGAAACCCCAATACTGATGTGTCCCCGTCCCAAGTGCGAAACCCCAATACTGATGTGTCCCCGTCCCAAGTGCGAAACCCCAATACTGATGTGTCCCCGTCCCAAGTGAGGAACCCCAATACTGATGTGTCCCCGTCCAAGTGAAAAACCCCAATACTGATGTGTCCCCGTCCCAAGCACGAAACCCCAATACTGATGTGTCCCCGTCCAAGTGAGAAACCCCAATACTGATGTGTCCCCGTCCAAGTGAGAAACCCCAATACTGATGTGTCCCCGTCCCAAGCACGAAACCCCAATACTGATGTGTCCCATTCCAAGTGAGGAACCCCAATACTGATGTGTCCCCGTCCCAAGTGAGGAACCCCAATACTGATGTGTCCCCGTCCCAAGTGAAAAACCCCGAATACTGATGTGTCCCCGTCCCAAGTGAGAAACCCCGAATACTGATGTGTCCCCGTCCCAAGTGCGTGCTTGCTCTCTCCCTCTCTCTCTCCTTCTCCCTCCCTCTCTCTCTCTCTCTCTCCCTCTCTCTCTCTCTCTCTCCTTCTCCCTCCCTCCCTCTCTCTCTCTCTCTCTCTCTCTCTCACACACACACACAGACACACACTCATGTGTGTACATATGAGGGGCAGTTCACGTATGTGTCGTAAGCTCGTGTGGGCATCAGAAGACACTTGAGGCCGTCACTTCTCTCCTTCCACCATAAGGGGGCGTTTATCAACCCCAGCTCATCACGCTTGGCAGCAAGAACCTTTACCTGTTGAGGCTTCATCATCACCATCATCACCATCATCTCTTTATGTAGAGATTGTTGCAGCCCAGACTGCACTCAAATTGCTTGTGTGGTAGAGGATGACCTTGTAATGGAGGCAGAAAACTCACGAGCCAAGGGTATCCTTGGCTGCTTAGTGATACAAGTCCAGCCAGGGATGGACTTGTATCAGGTTAAACCCGGTGCCAAAATAGCAAGAGGTAGGGGTGGGGCTGGCCTGTATTCCCGAGTGACTTAAAGTTTCTTTAACAACAGTAAAACATTGTATCGTTCTTTCTAGACTCTAGTGAGAGGGAAACCGTGTTTTCCTCCTCCACTTCCTGTGGAGCTCCGTTTATTACAGAGAGAACCACGTGACCCTTTTGTTATCTTGACTATGAGTGAATGATACCATTGCTCTCTTCCGAGTCTATTCCTCCTACTACAATCGCCCTGTCAGTGCTCACTGTGTTGTAGTGAGCTGGAATTAGGCAGAGAGATTCCCTGGTCAACCTCCCTCAAAGTTCACACTCGGTGTTTCTTCAGGCGTGTGACTGACCAGACACTCCCTTCAGGCATATCTCCAATCCTGGTGACACCAGCAGCCACAGGAAACCTGGGTGATCTGGGTGAGTGAGGCTGGAAAATCAGGGTGGGAGAGGTTGTCAGCTGAGAGGGGTTGTGGGCCTTTATGCTGTGGGGTGTGTGTGTGTGTGTGTGTGTGTGTTAGGTATGTGCCTGTGTGTATCTGTGTATGTTTGTGGTGTGTTTCTTGGTGTGTATGTGGTGCAGGGGTGTGTGTTTGCATGTATGTGTGTGTATCTGTGTGTTTGCGTGTGTGTATCTGTGTGTTTGTTGTCTGTTTGTGCGTATGTGAGTATGTGTGTGTGTGTGTGTGTGTGTGTGTGTGTGTGTGGTATATGGGTGGGTGGGGTTCACTCTCCCCTGCAGAAGTGTATGAGGTCAGGCTGAGGTCAGAATTTGCACCAGTTTCTCTCTGTTTCGATGTATTTGACTTTAAGATGTGCTACGGTTCACTTACTTGTGTGCATCTGTAGTGCCAGGATTTGAACTCAGGCCGTGAGGCTTGGGAGCAGGTGCCTTTGCCTGCTGAGCCATCTCGCTGGAGGTCTGTTGTTTTCTTTTTTGCAAGTTTTTTCAGTATCCTGTTAATCAGCAGTAATCAGAGGGAATTATGGGGCTCTGCCAGCCCAAGGGAGGCTCGAGCTAATTCTGCTTTCAGGCCACACCCAGAAAGCCAGCAGCCAGGCAGGAGCCAGGTCGGTGCACAAAGCATTGCTCATAGAGGCCCAGTGCAGCGTTTGCACAGTGACGCCTCCCTCAAAGAAGTAAGGGACTCCTGGATCCATCGTATGCCCAACCTAAAGGCCAGACTGAAGGGGAAGCGAGGAAGATCTGTAGGGTCCTCCCTGCAGCTCACAGAGCTCCACATGAAAACACCACAGATGCGTGCACGCACACACACACACACATACTCATACATACACACACACACATACACACACGCACACACACACACATACACACACACACATACACACACACGCACGCACACACACACATACACACACACATACATACACACACACACATACACACACACACACACACACTCATTTTTTGAGACAAAGTCTCTCACTGAGCTTGCAGTTTCAGCAGTCTGACTGGTAGCTAGGCCCCTGGGATCCGCCACCGCCACCTCTCCAGGGGGCTCAGGCATTCCATGGCCAGCGTTTACACTGTACACTGTCAAACTTAGGCCCTCGCCCTCGCCCATGCTCCTACATCATCTGCGGAGCCATCTCCCCAGCCCTTAGATGGGTTGTATTCTGGGACTTTAACCTCGTTCCTGCCAGGGAAGTGGAGTACAGTAGTTAGTACTAGGGCTGTAACAGCAAAGTTATGGGTTCAAGTGCTATCCCTGTCTATCATAAAACTTTTTATAAACCCACTCAATAGGCTGCAGATAAGACTTTATGGTAGAGTACGTGCCTGGCTTGGGAAAGGCACAGGATGCTTTGATAAGAAAGAAAAAAATACTTTATTGAGGCTAAAATAAACACAGCAATAAGTATGTAATGTAGACTCTGTCTTGAATCTACAAGTGTAAACTCTTGAAGCCACCTCCACAATCTGTGGTAGACATCTCCATCACCTCCTTGAAGACAAACGTTTAAGCTTAAGGATGTCCGGGGTGATGAATACCATAGCAAAACACTGGAGAGATGACTCCAAGGTTAAGAACTCTGGTTACTCTTCCAGAAGACCTGAGTGTAGTGCCCAGCTTCATGTTGGGCACCCGCAACTGTCTGTGATGTCAGACTGTGTGAATTCAATGTCCTTTTCTGCTCCAGCTGGCACTGGCACACAGACGACACACACACATGCACAAAAATTAAAAAAGGACACTGAGGGCAGACCCAGCTTCTACTGGGCAGTGTGGGGTACACCTGCTAGTTTGGCACTGGAAATCGGAGGATCGGAAGTTCAAGTGTGGCCTCACCTAACATTGACTTAGAATCAGACCCAGGTCTGCACTCCCAAGCTGGGGCACCTCCGTTTCCTGTTTCCTTCCCCTCCTTGCCAGCAGCAGCTCCCCCCCCCCCTGCACCTCACTTTGGGTACCTTCTCTCTACTTTGAAGGGGCTTTGGGGACTTGGGCTTTATCTTTGGAGGAGCAGGATGAACAGTTGGCCCTGTGGGTCGCTTCAGTGCTCACCCTGCACCTTGACTTGCCTTTTGGCTCTCCTTCACCATTCTTGACGTGTAGTGGAGTCAATGGGGGCTAAGCACTGAACTCAGGAACAGTCAGGCCGCGGCCGCCGTACCAGTGGGCTCATTACCATTTCTTCCTCACACTGCTTCCAGCTGTTAGTTTTGAGCGGATTTCTGTAGGCGCTCTGATGAGCTCATGTTGTTTGGTTGTTTTAGATAGGGTCTCGCAATGAGCTCTAGCTGGCCTGGAGCATGGTGTGTGTGAAAGACAGGCACTGAACTCACAGATTTCCATCCTCCTCTGCCATTTGAGGGCTGGTATTACAGGCGTGTGCCAGCATACCTGCTGCTTTTCTTTTGAAGCAGAGTGTTGGGTAATGCAGGTTGGCCTTGAACTGCTATGTAGCCAAGAATGAACTTGAAACGTATTTAACTGAAAACAAATTATTTTACATTGTGTGTGTGTGTGTGTGTGTGTAGAGAGAGAGAGAGAGAGAGAGAGAGAGAGAGAGAGAGAGAGAGCACACAACCATACATGGCAGAGCAAAGATGTGGAAGTCAGAGGGCAACTTGCAGAAGCCATGGAACCATGTGGGTTCCAGGGTCAAACTCAGGCCATCAAGCTTGGTGATGAAGACATCTTGATGGCCTTTTTACATTACTTATCTGTCTATGGTTATGTGTGTGTGTGTGTGTGTGTGTGTGTGTGTGTGTGTGTGTGTGTGGTGCTCATGCGCCACGATGAGTGTGTGTGATGTCAGAGGAAAGCTCTGCGGAGTTGGTTCTCACCTTCCACCTTTGTGAGGTCCTGAGAACCTCAGCGGGTCCAGGCTTGCACAGCAAATGCCTTTACCCACTGAGCCATCTTGTGGGCACAATCTCACATTTCTGACCTTTGCCTTCACCTCCTGAGTTACAGGCCAGAAGCTGAGAGAACTGGTTTATTCAGTGATGAGACTCGAGCCTAGAGCACCAAGCATATTAGGTAAGCATCCCACACACATGGTGCCACTTATGTTCTTTTTGCTTGTTAGTTTGTTTGTTTTGAGACAGTGCCTCACTACATAGCCTTGGCTGGTCTAGAACTTGCTATGTAGACCAGGGTGGCCTTGACTTCATAGACATCTGCCTCTGCCTCCCAAAGACATGAGTAATCTTGCCTGGCCCATTATCCTTGTTTTTATTTTTTTTGTTTTTTGTTTTGTTTTTTATGAGACAGGGTTTCTCTGTATTGTTTTGGAGGCTGTCGGTCCAGCCCAGCCTCGAACTCACAGAGATCTGCCTGCCTCTGCCTCCCGAGTGCTGGGATTAAAGGCGTTCGCCACGAATGCCCGGCATTATCCTTGTTTTTGATCAGGGTAAATCACTAACATTCTAGGATCTCAGTGTCCCCACCTATAAGTGGAGACATAAACAATGCTACATCCTGAGTGGGGAGACACACACCTATGGTCCCAGCACTCTAGAGGTCAAGGCAGGGGGATTAGGAAGCCAAGGCCATTATCAACTACATTGGAAGTTTAAAGTAATCACGAGCTACATATGACTGTTTCAAACACTCACGTGTGTACTCACACACACACACACACACACACACACACGAACTTCACAGGCACAGTGCATTCATATGCTACATATAAAGTATGAAGAAGCATGTCTGACTGGATCATTGGCATGGCTCAGTGTGCAAAGAGGCTTGCTGCTAAGGCTGACGACCTGAGTTCAAACCTCGGGGCACACACATGCCAGGGAAGAGCTCATTCCCAAAAGCTGCCTCTGACTGCCGCCTGTGTGCTGTGGCATTTGCCCACCCACACGCAAACAAACAAATGCAAAAATTAATTTACAAAAGAATATAAAGAAGGCCGGGTATTTTATAAAATGTTCATGTTTTTTCTAATTCAGTGTGCTCTGTTTTTCTCTGTCCTATAGCCTTGCCCTCAAGGCCCCCGTGCCGCCCTGGCCACCTGTCTCCAAAACCCTCTGGCTTCTACCACCAAGACAGATGGCACTCCACATTCTGCTCCAGCCGCTCCTTCCCCACTGTGGGCAGCATCCTGAACTGCCTGGCTGGCCGCATCGTCTACATGATGGGGGACTCCACACTTCGGCAGTGGTGGGAGTATTTGCGAGACACGGTGCCCTGTGAGTGACCATTAGAGCAGAGGAGGGGGTGTGAGCATTCATGATGGAAAAGCCAGGCAAGGCAGCACTTGCGTTGGAGGAGACTCCCATGTTTAGCAGAAAGGTAGGGCAGGATGCCTGGCCTTCCTGAAAGGCAAGTGAGTGAAGGAGTGAGGTGTTTTGCTTTGTTTTTTTCTATGTAGTCCTGGTTGACCCAGAACTCACTGTAGTTATCAGGCTAGCTTCAAACTCACAAAGTCCACCTGCCTGGGCATCCTGAGTGCTAGAATTAAAGGCATACACCACCAAGCCCGGCTAGGAGTGAGTTTTAAAACTCTCTCTCCCTCCCTCTCCCTCTCTCCCTCTCTCCCTCTCTCTCTCTCTCTCTCTCTCTCTCTCTCTCTCTCTCTCTCTCTTCTCTCTCTCTCTGTCTCTTTCTCTCTCTCTCTCTGTGTCTGTCTCTCTGTGTGTGTCTCTCTGTCTCTCTGTCTCTCTGTCTCTCTGTCTCTCTGTGTGTGTGTGTGTGTGTGTGTGTGTGTGTGTGTGTGTGTGTGTGTGTGTGTGGAGGTGGTCTCATGTAACTCAGGCTGGCCTGGAACTCCATATGTAGCCAAGGATGACCTTGAAGTTCTGATCCTCCTCTCTCCACTTCCCAGGAGAAGAAATCCCAGAAATACGCTACTACACCCAGTTCATGTAATGCTTGGATGTTTCAGATATAACGTGGGAACAGCGTGCTTGGCAAACTTCCTACTAACCAAGCTACTTCCTCAGCCTGCAAGAGTAACATTATTACCAGGGAGTTGCCGTCCTCATTTAGTTAACCAGAGACCATGAAAATAGCTAAAGGACAGGGCGATAAACCTAAAAACAATGCAATGTTTGATGATACCAAAAGAGTCATCACTGAATTTCTGGATAAAATCTTCAGCCTGCTCTTGTGTATGTGTGCATGTGAGTGTGTGTGTGTAGGTACATGTGTGTATGTTCACATTGTATGTACACATGTGTTTGTGTGCGTGGGGAAGACAGAAAATGATTTCTGCTGTCGTTCTCAGATGCAGTCCACTGTGTTTTATTTTATTATCGCCATTGTGTGTGCGTCTGTAGTAAGGGTGTGCACCTCCTCCCATCCTCATCTGCTCTTGAAGCTGGGGAGGCGGGCACCTGGCTCGGATTGGGCAAGTTTGTTCTTTCTTAGATGAGCGCCAGGTTCCTTCCTGGTGAATGTTGTTTCAGCCACGATGCAACTTCATTCCACGGTTTCCATCTCAAAATAAAAGGAAACCTCTATTGAAGACACAAGGGTGTGCAGGGTTCTGCATGTGCCGTGGAACATGTGTGGAGGTCAGAAAACAGCTTTCAGAAGTCCATTCTCTCCTTCCAGGGATGGAGCTCAGGTGGTCAGGGTCGAAGGGCAGGCACTGTCACCTAATGAGTCATCTCACCAGCCCTACTACGCTGGGCAAGCATTCTGTGCGCTGAGCCACATCCCCTGACGTCATTGTGACCGTGGTAAAATACTGAACGTTGTAGGATCTCAGCATCCCATCTATAAGTGGAGATATAAATACATCTTCAACCTGAGTGTGGCAGTGCACAGTATAGTCCTAGCAATCTAGAGATGGAGGCAAGAACATTAGGAATTCAAGGGCATTCTCAGCTACAAAGAAGGTTAAGGCTAGATGAGACTTTGTCTTAACTGCTTGTGGGCTCATGCCCCCCCCTTAATAACGGAAGTGTTATTTTTAAGTATGTTTTTATTTAAATTAGAAACATGCATGCTTCAAATGTCAATCCTAGCTCCCCCCTTCTCCCTCCACCAGCTCCACGCCCACCCCCACCCCCAGCCCAATCCCCACAGCATTCCCCAGGGAGGGTGAGGCCCTCCTTGGGAGGATCTCCAGACTCTGTCATTGCATCCAGGGCAGGACCTAGGTCCTTGCCCATGTGTCCAGGCTGAGAGAGCATCCCTCCATGTGGAATGGGCTCCCAAAGTTCATTTTTATGCCATGGTGAACACTAATCTACTACCCAAGGCCCCAGAGATTTCTGAGGCCTCCTCACTGACACTACATTCATGGGCCCTTTTGGCCTCTCAGCCATCAGTCTGGGGTTCAAGAACTCCCCCTTGTCCAGTCAGCTGTCTTTGTGGGTTTCACCAGCACGATCTTGACCACCTTGCTCATCACTCCTCCATCTGTTACTGAGTTCCAGGGGGGGTCAGTTCAGTGTTTAGCTGTGGGTATCTGTCTCTGCTTCCATCAGTCACTGGATGAAGGTTCTAGGATGTCACATAAGGTAGTCATCAACCTTATCATCAGGGAGGGGCTATTAGTGTAGTCTCTCCGCTATGACTTAGTTTTCCAGTTGGTGTTATCCTTGTACGTCTCTGGAAATCTCCCTAGTGTCAGATCTCTCCTCAAAGCCATAATGATTCCATTTATTATGGTATCTATCATCCTGGTCTCCTCTATTCTTACACTGACTCAGCCTTCCTGCTCCCCCATGTCTTCTTCTCCCCTACTCTTATCCCCCTCTCTTTTGCCTGGCTCCCTATCCCCTCCCCCGATGTTCCCAATCTGCTCGGGAGATCTTGCCTATTTCCACTTCTCTGGGGTATAATGCATATCTCTTGGGAACCTCCCTGTTTCCCAGACTCACTGGCCCTGGGATTGTAGGCTGACACTCCCCTGATCCATGTCTAAAATCCATATATGAGTGAGTACATACCATGTTTGTCTTGTTGTGACTGGGTTACCTCACTCAGGATGGTTTCTTTTAGTGCCATCCATTTGCCTGCAAATTTCAAGATTCCGTTGTTTTTTTCTGCTGAGTTTTTTTCTCCATTATGTAAACATACTACATTTTCTCTATCCACTCTTCAGTTTTGGGGCATCTAGGTTGCTTCCAGGATCTAGCTATTACAAATAATGCTGCTATGAACATAGTGGAACAGACATCCTTGTTGTATGAATGGGCATCTTTTGGGTATATGCCTAAAAGTGGAAATGCTGGGTCTTGTGGTAGACTCAGACCCATTTTCCTGAGGAATCTCCATACTGATTTCCAAAGTGGCTGTACAAGTTGGCACTCCCACCAGCAATGGATGAGTGTTCCCCTTTCTCCACATCCTCTTCATCATAAGCTGTCATTGGTGTTTTTGATTTTAGATATTCTGACAGGAGTAAGATGATATCACAGGGTTGTTTTGATTTGCTTTCCCTAATGGCTAAGGATGTTGAGCACTTTCTCAAGTATCTCTCAGGCATTTTTAGTCTCCTCTATTGAGAATTCTCTATTTAGTTCAGTTCCCCACTTTTTAATTGGATCCTTTGGTGTTTTGGAGATTTGCTTCTTGAGTTCTTTGTAAATTTTGGAGATCAACCCTCTGTCAGATGTGGGGTTAATGAATATCTTTTCCCAATCTGTGGGTTGCCTTTTTGTCTTGCTGACTGTGTCCTTTGCCTTACAGAAGCTTCTCAGTTTCAGGAGGTCCCATTTATTAATTGTTGATCTCAGTGTTTGTACTACTGGTGTTATGTTCAGGAAGCGTTCTCCTGTACCAATTCGTTCGAGGGTACCTCCCACTTTCTCTTCTAAGTGTTTCGGTGTGGCTGGATTTATGATGAGGTCTTTGATCCACTGGACTTAAGTTTTGTGAATGGTAATAGACATGGATCTATCTGCAGTCTTCTACATGCCAATACCCAGTTATGCCAGCATCATTTGTTGAAGATGCTATCTTTTTTCCATTGTATAATTTTAGCTTCGTTGTCAAAAATCAGCTGTTCATAGGTTTGTGAATTAATCTCAGAGTGTTCAATTCGATTCCACTGGTTTACCTGTCTATTTTTGTGCTAATACCAAGCTATTTTCAGGACTACAGCTCTATAATAGAGCTTGAAGTCAGGGATGGTGATGCCTCCAGCTGTTGCTTTGTTGAGCAGGGTTGTCTTGGCTATCCTGGGTCTTTTATTTTGTCATATGAAGTTGAGAATTGTTCTTTCAAGGTCTGTGAAGAATTGTGCTGAGATTTTGATGGGGATTGCATTGAGTCTGTAAATTGCTTTTGGCAGGATTGCCATTTTTACTACATTGATCCTACCTATCCAAGAGCATGGGAGATCTTTCCATTTTCTGGCATCTTCTTTAATTTCTTTCTTTAAAGACTCAAAGTTCTTGCGATACAGGTCTTTCACTTGTTTGGTTAGTGTTACCCAAGGTATTTTATCTTGTGCGTGGCAATTGTAAAGGGTGATGTTTCTCTGATTTCTTTCTCAGCCCTCTTATCTTCTATATATAGTATGGCTACTGATTTTCTTGAGTTGATCTTGTATCCTGACACTTCGCTGAAGGTGTTAATCAGATGCAAGAGTTCCCTGGTAGAGTTCTTTGGGTCACTTATGTAAACTGTCATATCATATGCAAATGGTGAAAGTTTTACCTCAGCCTTTCCAATTTGCATCCCCTTGATCTCCTTTTGTTTTCTTATTGCTCTAGCTAGAACTTCAAGTACAATATTGAGGAGGTATGGGGAGAGTGGACAGCCTTGGCTTGTCCCTGATTTTAGCAGAATCGCCTTGAGTTTCTGTCCATTTAGTTTGATGTTAGCTGTTGGTTTGCTGTATATAGCTTTTATCATGTTTAGGTATGTTCCTGTTATCCCAGATCTCTCCAAGACCTTCACCATGAAAGGGTGTTAGATTTTGTCAAAGGCTTTTTCAGCATCCATCTAGTGAGATGATCATGTGATTTTTGTTTTTCAGCTTGTTTATATGCTGGATTACATTGATGGATTTTCATATGTTGAACCATCCCTGCATCCCTGGGATGAAACCTACTTGATCATGGTGAATGATTGTTTTGATGTGTTCTTGGGTCCGATTTGCCAGTATTTTATTGAGTATTTTTGCATCAATGTTCATGAAGGATATTGGTCTGAAGTTCTCTTTCTTAGTTGTGTCTTTGTGTGCCTTGGGTATCAAGGTTATTGAAGCCTCGTAAAAAGATTTTGGCAAAAACCCTTCTGCTTCTATTACATGGAATACTTTGAGGAGAATTGGTATAAGCTGTTCTTTGAACTTCTGGTAAAATTCTGCATTGAAACCATCTGGCCCTGGGCTTTTTTTTTTTTTTTTGGTTGGGAGACTTTTGATGACTGCTTCTATTTCCTTAGGTGTTATAAGTCTATTTAAATTGCTTAAATGGAAGCCGTCCATTTCCTTTAAATTTTCAAATTTTGTGGAGTACAGGTTTTCAAAGTATGACCTGATGATTCTCTGAATTTCCTCAGAGTCCGTTGTTATGTGCTCCTTTTCATTTCTGATTTTGTTAATTTGCGTGTTCATATTCTGCCATTTGGTAAGTTAGGATAAAGGTTTGTCTATCTTGTTGATTTTCTCAAAGAACCAACTCTTTTTTTTTTTTTTTGGTTTTTTGAGACAGGGTTTCTCTGTGGCTTTGGAGGCTGTCCTGGAACTCACTTTGTAGACCAGGCTGGCCTCGAACTCACAGAGGTCCGCCTGCCTCTGCCTCCCAAGTGCTGGGATTAAAGGTGTGCACCACCAACGCCCGGCGAACCAACTCTTTGTTACATTGATTCTTTGTATTGCTTTCCTAGTTTCTGCTTTATTGATTTCAGGCCTCAATTTGATGATTTCCTGGCATCCACTCCTCCTGGGTGAGTTTGCTTCTTTGCTGTGCTGCTAATTCTCTAGTGTGACTATTCTCCAGTTTCTTCATGTGGGCACTTAGTGCTATGAACTTTCCTCGTAGCACTGCTTTCAAAGTGTCCCATAGGTTTGGATGTGCATGTCTTCATTCTCATTGAATTCTAGGAAGTCTTTAATTTCTTTTTTATCTCTTCTTTGACCCAGGCATGGTGCAATTGTGCATTATTCAATTTCCATGAGTTTGTAGGGTTCCTGCAGTTTGTGGTGTTGTTGAACTCTAACTTTAAAGCATGGTGGTCTGATATGATGCATGGAGTTATTCCAACTTTTTTGTACCTGTTGAGGTTTGCTATGTTGCCAAGTATGTGATCAATTTTTGAGAAGGTTCCATGTGGTACTGAGAAGAAGGTGTATTCTTTTGTGTTTGGATGGAATGTTCTATAGATGTCTGTCAAACCCAACTGGGTCATAACCTCTATTAGTTCCTTTGTTTTATTGTTAAGTTTCTGTCTTATAGTCCTGTCTAGTGGTGACAATGGGGTGTTGAAGTCTCCCACTATTAGTGTGTGAGGTTTTATGTGTGGTTTGAGTTTTAGTAATGTTTCTTTTACGAATGTGGATGCCTTTGTATTTGGGGCATAGATGTTGAGAATCGAGACTTCATCTTGGTGGATTTTTCCTGTGATGAATATGAAATGACCTCCTTCATCTCTTTTGATTGATTTCAGTTTAAAGTCTAGTTTGTTAGATATTAGGATTGCTACCCCTGCTTGTTTCTTGGGGCCATTTGATTGGAAAATCTTTTCCCAACCCTTAACTCTGAGGTAATGTCTGCCTTTGAGGCTGAGGTGTGTTTCTTGTATGCAGCAGAAGGATGGGTTCTCTCTTCGAATCCATTCTGTCAGCCTGTGCCTTTTTATGGGCAAATTAAGACCATTAATATTGAGGGATATTAATGACCTTTGATTGCTCATTCTCATTTGTTTTGGAATGGTTGTTCTTGGTGGAATTGTATGTGGATTTCCACCCCTTTTCTCTTTTGGGTATTGGTAAAGTGGGATTATCTATTTCCTATGTTTTTCTGGTTGTAGTTAACTTCTTCGGACTGGAGTTTTCCTTCCAGAACTTTCTGTAGGGCTGGGTTAGTGGATATGTATTGTTCAAATCTGGTTTTGTTGTGGAATATCTTGTTTTCTCCATCTGTAGTGATTGAAAGCTTTGCTGAGTATAGCAGTCTGGGCTGGCATCCGTGGTCTCTAAGTGTTGATAGTAGATCTATCCAGGACCTTCTGGCTTTCAGAGTTTCCATGGAGAAGCCAGGTGTAATTCTTATAGGATTGCCTTTATATGTTATTTGACCTTTTTCCTTAGCTGCTCTAAGTATTCTTTTTTTTATTTGTATTCTTGGGGTCTTGATTATTATGTGGTGAGGGGACATTTTTGTGATCTACTCTATTTGGTGTTCTGTAGGCTTCTTGTACCTTCATTGGCATGTCTTTCTTTAGGTTGGGAAAGTTTTCTATGATTTTGTTGAATATGTTTTCTGCCCCTTTGAGGTGGTTTTCTTCATGTTTCTCTATACCTACTATTCTTAGGTTTGGTCTTTTCACGGTGTCCCATATTTCCTGGATATTTTGTGTTAGGGATTTGTTGGACTTAAGATTTTCTTTGGTCCATGAATCTATTTCTCCTAGTGTGTCTTCAGCACCTGAGATTCTCTCTTCCATCTCTTGTATTCTGTTGGTTATGCTTGCATCTGTAGTACCTGACCATTTGCCCAGTTTTTTGATTTCCTGCATTCCTTCAGACTGTGTTTTTTTATTGTCTCCATGTCAGCTTTCAACCCTTGCACTGTTTGAATTGTTTCTTGTAATTTTTGCTTCGTGTTTTCTTCCCTTTCTTCCATTTGTTGGAATTTTTGGTTTGTTTTTTCTTCTATTTCTTGCATTTTTGGTTTGTTTTTCTTCTATTTCTTGCATTTTTTGGTTAGTTTTTTCTTCCATTTCTTTACGGGATTTTCTCACATCCTCTTTGAGGGCCTCTATCATTTTCATGAAGGTGTTTTTAAGGTCATTCCCTTCTGCTTCATCTGCATTGTGGTGTTCAGGTCTTACTGGTGTAGAATCTCTAGACTCTGGTAGTGTCATATTTGTTTTTCTGTTGCTGAGTGTGTTCTTATATTGCCTTTTCCCCATCACTTCTTCCAGTGGGTGTAGAAAGAGTCTCTTCCTCTCCTGGTGGGTAGGCGAACAGCGTTCCCTTTCGGTGGGAGCAAGGAAATCCAATACTTTCTGGCCTATGCTCTCTGCCCTCTGCCCTGGGTTTGGGCGGAAGTGTACCAGCTCGCTTTGTCGTCTATGGGGTGGGGGTCATCCTGGCTGCTGTTCCCAAGCCAGGGGATGCAAAGAGGGTGAGCAGGAGGAAATCGGGTCTAAGATGGGGAGCCAGTGCTCTGTCCCTTGTGTGGGCAGAAGTATACCAGCTCTCTCTACAGGCTCCTGGTTGCTTGGTCGTCTATGGGGGTGGGGAGTTGACCTGGCTGCAGTCCCCAAGCCAGGGGATCCGAGAGAGGGCGAGCCCTCTCCAGAAGTGTTATTTTTAAAACAAGGTCTCTTATTAGCTTAGAACTTTCCAAATGGCTAGGCTGGATGTCCATCAAGCTCCAAGAATCCTATCTGTATCTCACCAGCTCTAGAATTACAACCTCAAGATTCTTTTAAAAAGGGGAGTCTGGGGCTCAGACTCAGGTCTTCATACTTGTACAGCAAGTCTCCACCACTAGGCAACACCCCAGTGTGTCACTAGGGTTTATAGGCAGGTGCTCTACCACTGAGTCAGCCTTCCCCCAGTGCCTCATGGGAGATTCTAGACAGGAGCTCTATCACTGAGCCAGTCCCTAGCCACACCCATGGTGGTTGAGGACTTGCCTCTGATGGCCCAGGGAAGGACTAAGGGAGTTGTATCTCAGTTGTAGAGAACTTGTCTAGTACCTGAGAGGCCCTGGGCTCCCCGGCCCTGTGGAGGAAAAGAAGGAAGAAGTAGCATGATCACGAACACAGGATGATTTAAAATAGTCATATACAGGGACTAGAGAGGTAGCTCAATGGCTAAGAGCACTGGCTGCTCTTCTAGAGGATCCAGGTTCAATTCCCAGCACCCACGGCAGCTCACAGCTGTCTGCAGCTGCGTATTCATGGTTCTGACACCCTCATGCAGACATACATGCAGGCAAAATACCAGTAAACACTAAAATAAGAATAAATTATATATTTGTTTAAAAAAGGTCAAATACAGTGGCTTACAACTGCCTATAACTCAAGCACCAAGAAACCTGATGCCCTCTTGTGGCCTCTTCTGGCACCTGCACTCTGTGTGTGTGTGTGTGTGTGTGTGTGTGTGTGTGTGTGTATGTGTGTGTATGTGTATGTGTGTGTATGTGTGTGTATGTGTGTATATGTTTGTGTGTGTGTGTACAATCATGAACTGTGCATGGGGGGTGTGTATGTGTATGTGTATGTGTGTGTGGACAATCATGAACTGTGTGTGTGTGAGGTCAGAGGACAATGTGTAAGAGCTCATTCTCTCCTCCCATCCTATGAATCTTAGATGTTCAAACTCGAGTCATGGGGACAGACAACCAGCGCCCTTTCCGCCTGAGTCTTGCTGCGGATCCCCTATGTTAATTCCTTCTTTCTCCTCCTTCTACAGCCCTGAAGCCAGTTGATCTTCATGTCCAATATCAGGTAGGCCCCCCTGATGATTGTGGACACAACTCGGGGTGCAGTACTGCACTGGAGGGCCCACAGCTGGCCCCTGCGCTCTCGTCACACCCCAGTGGCCTCCCTGCACTCTGTGGCCAGAGAACTGCATGGCCTGGCTGGGGGACCCTACACCGTGGTGGTCCTGGGTATGGGAGCCCATTTTACCACTTTCCCTCCATCCGTCTTTGCTCGAAGACTGGCAGGGATTCGGGAAGCCGTGAAAGCCCTGCTGGACCGCGAGCCCAGTACTCTGGTGGTCATCAAACTGGCCAATACTGGCTACAAGTCCGTGTATGGCAGTGACTGGCTCACGCTCCAGGTGAACAGGCTCCTCCGAGCTGCCTTTGTTGGTCTCCCAGTGGCCTTTGTGGATGCTTGGGAAATGACCTCCAGCCTGGCTGTGCCAGACAACATCCACCCAAACAAGCTTATTGTCCGCAACGAAGTGGACTTATTTCTGTCCTTCATCTGTCCCACCTGAGGGACCTGAGGCTGGATGGATGGAGAGCCTGAGTGTGGCCATCGAAAAGATGAACACCAAGTGGAAAACTGCAGTTACCCTGGCTTACCCACAGTGACACATGGTCACCAAGGTTATACATTGCTCTGTGTGCCTCACAGATGAATCTAATCTTATATAAACGAGGTGATGTTTTACATACTGTCTTCCTTTTGAAAGTAAGAGGTGGTGAACCTAGAGCTAGGCTGGCAGTCAGGTAGAGTCACTGATCTTTTTGTCTCTGTCCAACACAGCACAGGGGTTATAGCATAAATTCACATCAGTATTTTTATGAGGTGCTGGGCTTCACACTCAGACTTTCCTGTTTGTGCCCTTACCTACTGAACGGTCTCCCAAGTCATACATTTTTAAAGACAAGTCTTAAACCTCAAACCCTTGCTCTAGCTATGCAAACACCCTATCTCCTACCAGCATATGCTTTGTTTTTAATTTTGGAATTTTTTTATTATAATAAAATTTCGCATTTGTGAGCAACAATGCAAATCCCTTGTACCTGTAACTTCTCCTGATGATAACAGTTTGCAGAACTGACTGTTCTGAGCAGTCACAGTCAGGATGGGAATGTGAGAAAAATCTAAGAGTCTTGCCCAGATGTTGCTGCATTTAGTGTATTCATTTGTGCTTTCGTTCCTTTGTTGTTGTTTTTTTGTTTTTTATTTTTGTGGTCCTGGGCATGGATTTCAGGGCCTGTGCATGTTAGGCACTGTTCTACCATTGAGCCACACCCTAGCCCTTCACTGGGATTTCTAGGCAGATGGTCTACCACTGAGTCACACCCCAGCCCCTCACTAGGGGATTCTAGGCAGGGGCTCTACCACTGAACCACACCCCAGCCCCTCACTGGGGAATTCTAGGCAGGGGCTCTACCACTGAGCCACACCCCAGCCCTCACTGGGGAATTCTAGGCAGGGGCTCTACCACTGAGCCACACCCCAGCCCTCACTGGGGGATTCTAGGCAAGGGCTCTACCACTGAGCCACACCTCAGCCCCTCACTGGAGTATAACGGTGTGTGATACACAGGAGCCGCATCAAGGCAGGGTTATAGTGCTAGTGACTCTCCAGAAAGAACTCGGGACCACATTAGGAAGAAATAAGTGAAACCAAACATCTCATTTAACTTTAATTAAGATTTCAAATAAGGGGCTGGAGAGATGGCTCAGGAATTTAGAGAATTGGCTATTCTCCAGAGGACTCAGGTTCAATTCCCAGCACCCACATGGAGGTTCACAAGTGGCTATAACTTCAGTTCCAGAGGATCCAACACCCTCATACAGACATACATGCAAGCAAAACATCACAAAAAATAAAATTAAGTCAACAACAAAAAGATTTAAGTTAGTTGTCCTTTAATTATATTCTCAAAGTCAGGATTTCCAAACACAGTCATGTCAGTGGTTAGAGTCTCAATGTACAAAGTTAGGAAGACAGGCAAACCCACACAGAAGATAAAATGAAAACATTCCCTGGACCCGGGTGTAGCTCCACTGTGAACACTATGTGTGTAAGAAAAGAGAATGATCCATTTCCAAAGGAGCCCTGAGCTAGCCTAGGCTCAAACAGCAATAAACAGACACACAAGGACCCTGCTAGCATCTACTGGTCTAACTGTTCCTCAACAAGCTGAGAGTTAGAGGAGAAAAGGGAAAGCATTGGAGCTGGGGAGATGACTGCGTGGTTTAGAGCACTGGCTGCTCTTTCAGAGAATCCAGGTTTGATTCCCAGCAACTGTCACGTCTGCAGCGTGGCCTGTGTCCGAGAACGTGCGGAGGGTGTCGGGTATTGAAAACACAGAGACTCGTTCAATGATATAAAGAGAACTTTAAACAGGCTCCAAAAAGGTTCAAGAAAAACTTCCTAAGAAAAGCTCCCACCAGAGAAACTTCTGCTCTCTCCTCTCCCTTGGCTGGTTCTGCTCTGACACCAGAGGTGGATGTGTGTGGGTTTTTGAAGGTGCGGTTAGTCTTTGGACAAGATCGAGGTCAGGGCGGTTTCTGTGGGAAGGCCTTTCCCAGGAACTTATTGTATCATTTTTAGTAAACATGTTTTTACTAAACATTGTCTTACAGCTGCCTACTCCCAGGCAGAAGGGGAAGTGGCCAGGAACTTATTGTATCGTTTTTAGTAAACATGTTTTTACTAAACATTGTCTTACAGCTGCCTACTCCCAGGCAGAAGGGGAAGTGGGTCTCTGCTCAAGGTCTGGTGTTCCCACAATTCACCCCTTTTTTCAAATGAGGCACTCCTGGCTTAGGTCAAGTAGGGTCACCCTCCCTTTCCCGTCTTTGGGGGACCTTGAACCCCTGTTTTAGGTGGGAGGGGTCTTCCCCACAGGTTGCCCGTCATCGGAGATACCCCAACCTTAAATCATCTGTAACCAACCTTCATGGCTATCGGGATTGCCATGGGCTAAGCTAAGCAATACTTGGTTACGGATCTCTTGCCTCTGGAACAAGGCACGTTTGAGCTCGGCATAAAGCCAGAATGCCTACCGCCACTGCCACCATTTCCAGGACCCCCATTGACATAGCGCCTCTCCATCACCATACCCATCACCAGATCTGGGCCATAACATTCTACCAGCCTTCGTCTGTTACAAGGGTAACCCGCATGTGATTTACATTTACAATTTGATAAAGTTTCCAATCGTTTTAAGATCTGCTCAGGAAAGCATTTAGAAAGTGCACTTGCACAGATACATTGGGCACAATCATTAATGTTACACATGTAGCATTATGAAAAATATGAACAATAGTTGTCACATTAGGACAAGTTGCATTTCTCCAGAAAAATACACTGGCCTAATCGTGATTCCAGAAACAGGAACCATCAAGTCTGATATTTCAAGTGACCATGTCCTGTTCAAATACTGAAAAGAGGCTTTTGCCACTCATCATAGTCCATACCAATGTCCAAATGCTTTAAATGGGTCCTTTTTTCTCTGTTGGCTTCGCAATGAAAACTCATGGGTCTGGAAGGTTGATGCAGCAGGTCTGTTGAGAAACTGGAAATCTTGAACCGACTGTTTTCTTTCTTTCTTGGGCTGTAGATTCGATGACATCAATGGTCAGGAACATTGATTTAGGAGATCTCACTCAAACTGGCTTAGGTAGGCTCCCATGGTCTCAGGTCCAGTTTTTCTCTGCTCCATGCATCTCACTAAATGGTCTGACAGTTGCCGAAGCTTTATTCTTTTCCTGCAAGAAAACACAAACATGCCCTCGACCCCAAATTAGGGTCTTCTCCACTGTCTAGTGTATGGATGTCTCCATTTGACCTGAGCAATGGTTGCTCAAGTTCCATCATGCCAGAATCTGTCTGAAGCTCACTGGCATTCACATTATAACATTTTTAAATGAGGAGTGTATTATTTGATGAGTCATGTGGGGACTGGGGACATTATTCCCCCTTTTTTTATTTTCTAAAAAAAAAAAGTTTTTTTTTTGAACTGCTGAAGCTGGACCATAACAGTAGAAGGATTTGTCTACCCTCCTTGGTTGACTATCTAGGTAAATTGGGATTACTACTTAGATTATTTGTAGATGCCCATTAAAAAGGACATATCCTTTGGATATTTCCCAAAAACTTCTGAAAATCACTCAAAGATTGTAAAGTATACTGTGTCTAAATAAGTTTTTAAAATTATTTGAAGTCTGTGAGCAGTCTTTCCCAATCTAACCTGTAGAGCTCTCACTAGCTGACAAGGCCTCATTTGCATCTTAAATTTTTCTGTTAAAACATTAACAGACTGGCTGGATGTTCCTTTTGGCTATATTTAAAGCAATCTAGGTAGCTTCTTAACTATTTTTGAAGGGATTTAAGTATCCTTTTAATCATATAAGCAGTTCACACTCACGCATTCACAATCACATTTCATACATACCGGTGTGGCCACACCATACATTCAGAACATACATGCATCTTTCAGTCATCCTTTTTCCCTAGGTCATGATTAGTCTGTTGCAATGAAGCTTCCTTAATTGAAATCTATGTAAAAGAACAACTCCAGCCAATCCTTGAACTAAAAGGGTTAAAAAGTCCTGTATGTTCTTTATCATTCCTCCATTTGAGCTACAGTCATGGGGTACAGCCGTACCTACTCCTTGTAACTCTGTAGATGCAAGGTGGAGAGGCCAGGTTTTTGGCCAAAAGTTTTTAGAGATGACTCACAAAATAGTACTTAAATGTAAACAAAATTTTTCATTCCATATACCTTTTTCTTTTTCTTTTTTTTTTACTTAATACCAGTACCTCCTTTATTAACTGTTACCAATTTTCAATTTACTCACTTTTAATCCATCCTCCAACTGAGGGTGATCTCTCAGGTTCCCCTTTCTTTCCTGACCTTGGTGTCAGGCGAAGGCCTGGAGATTTAATCCAGTACCCCTAGCTTGGTACCCCTTTTTAACACATCCGCATAGCCTTACTGGCCAGCCTTTTAGATCTCTCAGTTTCCCTCAAAAATGACCAAAACCCTTCCTATCCCCTGGGGCCCTGGTCTCCAAAGGGAGGGATGCCACAGGGCAAACCTCTCCCTGTTCTAGTTTACCTAGTTCCCTCCCCGGGCTCCAGCCCCTCTCTTGCGTCATCTGGGGGCCCCTGCTTTTGGACTTGGGTGCCTGGGTGGTGAGGACCACTCCCATTTCTTGCATGAGGTCCCGTCCCCAGAGGTTAATAGGGAGGCCAGGCAAAACATATGGCTGGAAAAGCCCTGTGTGGCCTTCAGAATCTTGCCACTTTAAGATTCTGAGGCTTTTTTGGGGCACAGCCTGTCCTATTCCCTGGAGGGTCACTGTTCCTTCCTCTTTCGGCCAGGCGGGGGCCAGAATTTATCTGAGAGGACAGAGAAATCTGCCCCAGAATCTAAGACGCCCCTAAAGGACTTGCCTTCTATCTTTAATGTAAGCTGGGGGCGGTTCTCCATAGTGGCTACCCAAAATGCTGCCGGGCCGGTACTTCCAAAACCTTGGTTGCCCCTTTTCTCTTTAATTTTTCTAGCCTCACAAGGAGCTGTAGGGAGAAGGAGTAACTGAGCAATCCGTTCTCCTGAAGGGATGGCAACAACCCCACTGCCCACTGATGTCATTATTTTAATCTCCCCCTCACTATCCTGGTCTATAACACCGGGGTGTACCTGGATGCCTCGAAGAATAGTACTGGACCGTCCCAAAAGTAGTCCGACCGTGCCTGGGGGCAATGGCCCATGCACCCCAGTAGGGAGGGCCTGGATCCCCATTTCCGGTGTTAGGATTGCCCGGGCAGAGGGAGCGAGGTCCAATCCTGCACTCCCTGAGGTGGCTCTAAGGAGGTCTGAGATATGAAGGGGTTGCTCTGGGGGAGAAAATGAGTCCTGCCACTGCCCAGAGCAGGGGTCATTGCCCCGTACACATTGGTTTTGGGGCCCTGGGGCGGGGCCCTCCTCCCGTTTCCCTGATTATTATTAGCAGAAAGGAAATTTCCCTCCCTGTCAGTTTT